GAATTCTGAGAGTTGAAGTCCACACATCTTAAAGTTGCCATGGTTGAGACACACTGGTATAGGCATTCAGAAGTCCCCATCGCTACCATGTTTTTGCTCTTCTTACAGCTTGCCCAACTGATTTACTGATAAAACACAATCCCCCTTTTACATATAATAGTTGTACTAAATTTGGTTGCTTTGAAGTTGTCAAAGTAGATAGATCAATATTTCACTACCTGACACCTTCCAGACATGATGGACTTCAATTTCCATGAGCCCTAGCCAGCACAACCACTGGCTATGACTGATGAGAGTGAAAGTCCAATGTGTCTGGAGAGCACTGGCTGGAGATGGCCGACAGGGACGAAACACAAAGAAGCCAGAAAAAAAAAAATTACCACTTGCCCACCAGAGCTGAAAATTATAAACAAGGCATGTTTCAGGAGAGGGTTACCCATTTATCAAACTAGGTACCTTTTGAGAATGTAAGGATCGAACGGGAAAAAACTGTCAAGGGGGTTTGTGACTGTCTCAACAGAATCTCCCCCACAACTGCTTCGGACAACTGGCAATACTTGTCTTCGGTTTCTCTCAATGATGGTGTCGCAAAAGGCGACCTGGTACTTCCTGGAAGAAGAAGAGGAGAAAAACGAAAGTTTTTTTTTTTTTTCCACAAACAGCCACGGACATACTGTTTCACAGAAGGGCTTCTGAGGGCAAGGCACGTTAACAACAGCTTCTCTTCCCTCCTTCCAGTATGATAGCTGTCTTCTTCTGTGTTAGTTGAGACAATATCCTGAACTATTCTTTTCTTTTTCCTTAGCTTTTCTCCTTTTGCTGACATTTCCTTTAAACTGGGACAAGGCCTGGAATGCTTGGGGAAAAAAAACCCAGGACGCCAGTGAAATAAGGCTAGAGTTTCTGCCATGAAAGAGAAAAGTTCTTCTCAAACAAGTATCGTCTCTTTCCTCTAGGCTCAGAGATGGACATAGGAGGTTGCACTGGCTAGGCTAGGAACGTGGGAATGAAGTAGGCCCAAGACCTGGATCTTTCCCCATGTTTGCTTCTACAGGCTAATGAACATTTCTGGACATGTCAAATCCTTTCCCTCAGTCAAAGCTCTTGGGGAAGAACCCTTCCAAGCAAATCCTGGCTTAGACTTACACTTAGCAGCACCTTTAGAATATTAGTGTTTTGAATCCACTTTCTGCTCCTAACTTTGAGTGAAAGGGGGAGGATAAAAAATACCAGCTGGTCAAAGCAAGTGAGTTCTCAGAAATTCCTTTTTTTTTCCTCCACTCTGAAACAGAGTCATGCTGATCCAAGAGACATCAGCTGACGCTGCGAATTCTTGAAGAAACACAATTCTGTGCATGTTTGTGTAGGGGAAGGGAGGGCTCCAGAATGCACGTAAGGCACAAAGTCGCAGATTCTGATAGGGTGTATCCACTTGGGTGAGCAAAAGCAAGATCTCTAGATGATATGCCTCTACCCTTTTGCATTCAAAAAATGCCTTTGAGTGATTTAAAACAGATAAGGAAGGAGGAAAAAACGTTCCCCCACTATCACCTCATTTCTGTATGCGTTCAATAAATGGACAGAGTCCCTCTACAACGCACTCCAGATTTGACAGAAAAAGGGATTGTTGACATAAACGCTGCAAGAGAGAAAACAATTTTACCTGGTAAGGGCAGCAAACAGACTCACAATTGTCGGCAAGCACACCTTCAAGGGGTTCAACTGACACATGACAATGCGTTCAAAGTTTAAGCTCTGCAGGTAGGCCAAACCTTCAAAACAGAACACCAAAGGGATTTACTACACTGAACCAGAGCTTTTCTAAAAAGTGTCACATTATACAAAATTCTAACAGAAAAAAATCTAAACCCTTCTGATGCTGCAGATGTTTCCAGAAGACACTACACTGTAGGAAACTCAGCTTAGCAGATCCTTAGTAGATCAATATGAACAATGCATACTGGTTTGAATACTTATTTGCCCGTCAGAGAAGTAAACTTATGTCACCGTGGCTTGTGGGATTTCTCTAGATAGGTTGACAGAGACCATCCCCTGATCTACTTACTAGGACCTGAACTTGGTGGGGTCTTGCTACAATATAAGATGGTCCAGAGCCCTCCCAGGGAAGGCAGAAAACCTGCCCTACCAACAGAGGCGGGAACCCTGAGAACGTTCCAGATTTCAATAAAACAAACCCACAAAGTTAAGGGTTAAACTAATCCCTGTTAAGGGGTTTGTAGTCCAAAATAGATGGAAGGAATGAGATTGGTGAAGGACAACATAAAATCAGAACCTGGATTTATTTACCATCCTCTCTGTGCCAGCCAGCTTTAAAAAACATTAGTAATTATTTCAGGCTGTTACCTGATTATGGAGGACAATCTCCCTTGATCTGTTTAATATATTTTCCCCTGCAGTGTTTCAAGGAATAAGTACCTGTGCCCTCTAGAGCAGTGTCTCTCAACCTTGGCACCTTTATGATGTGTGGACTTCAGCTCCCAGAATTCCCCAGCCAGCCATGCTGGCTGGGAATCCTGGGAGTTGAAGTCCACACATCTTAAAGGTGCCAAGGTTGAGAGACACTGCTTTAGAGGTTTTGGCCTTTAATCTCCATCAACCCCAACTGGTGTGGCCAATGGAGGAGGACTGTGGGAATTAACATTTTTCCTATGCCGCCCCACATCCAATAGACCTAGGCAGCAAATACTAGAACAAAGCAATCAATTTTAAAAAGTCAAAACAAATACAGTCACGCGCCTATTGAAAATCATCATGGCAACCCCATTCAACTTTGGCCACAGGCACGAGGGAGTAAAATCATTCCAGGTGAACAGTACTCCAAAACATCCCAGATCTGAAAGCATTTGGGATCTAGGCCAGAAACAGACACGTTTTGCCCACGTGTTCTCCTTGTTTGGTGAAATTGTGCTCACCTTTCTTGAGATTTCCATCCAGGATCTGCTTGTGGCGGAAGATGACCACATAGAACACAGCCTGGCAGGCGGCGTAGAAGGGACCATGGAGCGCTACGTCACAAAATGCTCGAGATCCCGTGCCGTGGTTGTCAATGTATGAGTGCAGCCAGCTGACCAGCAAATCTAGGCAGGCTTTCACTGTCCTGAAATGATAAAAAACAAAAACAAACAAAAAAAGGGTAAGCAGACTGATAGGAGAAGGGTGGGTTGGAGTGCTAGACCAGGAGTGGGAAAATTTAGGTGGAGATTCAGACTTAGGGATTCAGACTGTCCTTCAGCCTTAACCTTCTTCCTAAGGTTGCTAGAAGGATATAATAGGAAAGGAAACCCCCATCTTGAAGGACAGACCAGCTAACAAGGAAATACTGCAGCAGCCATAAAAGTAGCATATTCATGAGGATCCCTCTCATGCCACAAAGAGCAAAACTTGCAAAAAGAAAAATGTGTGCCAGTCAGCTTCTCAATGTGCTCAACTCAAACCAACTGGCTAATTTCATGACCTAGCAAGATTTACACCAAATATGACAGAACTCACATTTCATAAACACAGCTAACTCGTTATACAACAAACCTTGATTGGGTTTATATATTGGCCTAGTATGATTTGTTTGTTGATAGCTTAGTTGGATGTATGAACCAACCCATCAGGACTTGGCATGATCAAACTAAAGCACTTGGTGAGGGACCAGTCCCTTTATGATGATGTTAGCCACAAGACAGGGATACCCCAGACTTTTCACTTGGAAATAAAAAGTTATATATTTATTTGGTTGTTAGAGTTGTACTGTGCAAAAGAATACAGCTATTCTAATCTTTATTCCAGTAGGAGCTTTTATGTCAGGATCTCTCTTCCTTTTATCAACCACCACCCCATGAAATGGATCAGGCTGAGAGAGACTGACTGACTGGCTTAACTGACTGGCTTAACTGACTGGCTTAAATTAATCCAGTGAGTTTCCATGGTTGAGGGTGGACCAGAACCAGGGTTTCCCTGGTCCTAATCCATCACTTTAAGCCAGCGTTTCTTAATCTCGTTAACCTTAAGTGTAGGGGGGGGTGCCCTCCCCCCAAGCCCTTCCCCCCCCCACTATCTCTCGTGGCGTGCTGGGCGGTGTTCGTCTCACGC